GACGGCCGGTCACGTGGCTCACAGCAGCTCACCCTGGCTGTCTTCCAGCCACTCCCATTGGCTGCCAGCCACTCACGGTAGCTCACCACAGCCCAGCTCCAGGTTGAGCTGTTGTTAACCATCTTAGCTGTAGAAGGCGCAGCGTCACTGGCACGCAGGTGGGATCCAAACCAGGCCCTGCTGCTCAGAGCTGGTATCCCAAACCAACTCTTAACCAGTGTGCCACTCGGCCGGCCCAGGAATTTGAGTTCTTGAGCTTATCCTTTTCTTTCCCCACTTTACCCACTGCCATTAGGAGACACCAGCCGGTCTCATGATACTCATTAGTTTGACAAAAGTGTTTGAAAGTATCACATACGCACATACACAGTCATCTAGATCCTTGCTTCTTATAAGTGGCTTGTTAGGATCATGTCACAGATTACCAGTTAGACATAGTCATCAGCAACTTCGATCAGATTAGAGGGCTAATTCAAAGAAACCCCAGAACCAATTCAGAAAATGCACCTTTCAAATTCTGTTCCTTCAGAGCCACACTTAGTACCAAAACTTTCATCCGAGTTCTCCAGGGAAACAGAATGAATCGGATGTGTACGCAGAAAGATAAGAGATTTATCATGAGGAAGATGGAGGCTGGCAAGTCCCGAGGTCGACAGGGTGAGTTAGCAAGCCGGAGCCCCAGAGAGCTGATGGTTTAGTTCAGTTCTAGCCTGGAGTCCTGAGAGCAAGGACAGCCCATGATACAGTTCTAGTGGGAAGGCTGGCAGGCTTGAGGCTCAGGAAGAGCTGATGTTTCAGTTCAGAGGCAGGAAAAATCCCTGCTATTCCAGTTCAAAGGCCCTCTGGCAGGAAGAATTGCCTTTTACTGGGAAAGGGTTAGTCTTTTTGTGCCATTAACTGATAGAAAGCTGATAAGACCTTCGACTTGGATGAGGCCTACCCAAACCACTTTGCTCAGTCGGCGGATTTAATCGCTAATATCATCAAGAGACACCCTCACAGAAACACCCAGGTTAATGTTTGACCAAATATTTGGGCACCCCATGCCCCAGTCAAGTTGACACATACAGTTAAACATCAAAACAGGCTAAATAATTAAACACCCATCAAGTCTCTTTATGAAGAATAGCAAGAAAAAGAAAGGGGAAAAATACCTGGTTAGTATATACCCACATAGAGAGCAAAAAAGGGAAGTAATTATGCATGGCTGCTGTAGTCTCCATATCTGTCATGTCGTGAGACCATAGTTGATATTTACAGCTCCCCTTCTCTTCTATCAATTCTTTGCACTCTTTCCTTTTACTTATTGCCTCAGTTCAAGAAGTGACACAAGCCTTCAGTTCTAAGAGATATGAGCTCTTATGGTCCTCCCTTTTGGCCACTGTAGTCTTCCACTAATTTACATGACTGGTCACAGTTGTCCTGAGTGGCATCTTTAGAAACTCCTTTGGGTCCCAGACCTAATCAATAACTCCACCATCATTTACCAGAACTAGTTCTCTGTGATAAGTGTTTCCTATGGGCACCTAGTATCCCCTGCTGGATACTAGGCAGCACCCCTCCCTCTAGGAACTTATATGAATGTGAGATATGAAACAAAGTTCATTACTCACATGGTAAACACCAAAAGGATTTCTAGAGAGGATTCCTTTTAGAGTGAAGGAAGAGTGAAGCTTTGGCTTTTACTGTGTCTACCACGTGGGGTCAAGATAGGGTTGCCTGGTTTGAACTTACATCTGGTGCCAGGGAAGGGAGTACTTGGCCTTTCTTGTAGGCATGCCGAGAAATGGGGCAAAGGGGGAAGAGAAAGGAATGGGACTTGGAATTTTTCAGCAGTCAAACACAAATAAATGAAGTCTTTCTTTTTTATTACAATAGGAAATAGACACCTTAAGCAATATAGCAATTTCCTACTTTGACATTTAGTTCAGTTATTTCCAGAACCCCAAAGGGCAGTGGAGAGTCTCAACCTCTATTTCAATGGAGTCGTTGCTAGATTCCTTATCTGAGCATCCCCCTCTTGGTAACGTGGACCACTATACTAAAAGAGCTCCCAAACAGAAGTCCTATGAATGGGTTATCAGGTAAATAGTGAAAGAAACAATTCCCATTTTCACCATTGGCTACAGATCCATGATTTCTGGCTATGGCGGAAACTATACCACATATTACTCACTGGTTCAAGAACATATATTGTGTATTGTCTAAAACATTCATACATTGCAAGGTCCAGTTTCCCAGCTGGCAACTTAGCTAGCTGAGTCTTCACTTGGCTCTTCCAATATTCTTTATGGCTATTTGTAGGTGATGATGTACATTGTAAGAGAACTTAGCTGTACTTGTTTTGCTATAAAGTGAGTTCCTGGGTCATTAAACAATGTCATGTGTGAAAATATTATGACAATTAAGGCATTCCATAAATCCATGGGTGACAGTACAGACTGAAGAATATGTTTTGTTTCAGTATAAAAACCTCTGCCCTCTTCATGATGGAAGTGGTCTAATATCATCAATCTTCCACTGGTGGGAATAGTGCCATATCAGGGGCTCAGAGTTGATTTCCACCGTTGGCAAATTGGGCACTCAACATTGGTTAGCTAAGACTTGATGAAGGCCAGCCAATGTTGTTGAGCCTGTGCATTATCTCCATCCTTGCCACCATGACCGCTTTGTACATGAGTGTATTGAGCAAATACTGGGGTGAGTTGGGAAAGACTGATTGACCTATACTGAGCATGTCACCAGACTGAGGGTTTTTCACGTTATATTGAACAGGTGATATTTTAGTAAGATGCCCACTTATTTCAGATTAGGTCATTTGATCACTGCCAAAGACCTCTGAAAATTAAAGTATTCTCATTTCTGCCCAACCACATGACCTCTACCCTTTAGAACCCTATCAACTCCACTAAACTAAGGAAACTCATGTAAATGATGGCATCTCCCAGTGTTATTCCCAGGCTGCTGAGGACAGTCACTACAAGCATTATAAGGATTTGGGGGCTCCCTTTATCAATGCGCTTTGCAAGAGGCCTGTGCAAAAGGAATGTACAGTAATGCCTTGGTTTGCGAGCATAATTCGTTCCAGAAACAAACTACTCATATTGCAAGACATCACTCGTTTACCATGCTAAAATGTATTAGAAATGTTTGCTTGTCTTGTGGAACACTCACAAACCACGTTACTCGCAATCAAGGTTTTACTGTACTTTGCTCCCACCTCATGTACTTTGTGAGTCTAGGGTGAGAGGATCATATAAAATAAATACATTCCAACATCTTATTTCCCTGAAGCTTTGGATCCTACCCTTTATATTATACTGGGGATATCTGGCATCTCAACTTTATTGAATGTAATCCATCATTGAGTGTGGGTTTTAGTCAATCAACCAAAGAAACTGCTAGAGCTCCTCCCAGATGCTCAAGATAACATCCTGAACCAAAATTTTCTGATAAGTGGACCCATATGAATATATTCAAAATGACCCAGCAATATGTTCTGTCATTTTTGGACTAGAAACCTAAGAATCCCGTGTCATACATATTCTTAAGACTTCTATCCATAAAAATTAGTACAATCTTGAAATTTTGTTTCAGTGTGAATATTATAATCTCCTGGGTTATACCTTGTGCTGTTATCCTGGTGGTATTCTGAGGTTAACCCCCAATTAAGAGTCTAGAGGTGATGAGGGATGGTGGGTGAGCATCTTAAAGAGAATTAGCATTAATGTAAGACAATGTCCTCAGGTGAGGTCATTAAAGAATTTCAACTAAGGGAAAGCTTGTCTCCTCAGAGAGGGTAAGAGGGGCAGCTTCTGTTGGCAAGGAATATTAACAGATATTTAGGGGTTCGAGATTCTAAGATTTGTCCAAATCCACTCTATTTTCCCATTCTAATTATCAGAGTCCCACTCATTCCCAATTCAGTGTCCTAACTAGCATATAAAAGACCTGGAGAAATTGTGGATTTATAATATACTTTGTAATCATGCAATCCACAGAAGCAGATTTTGTTCTCATAGTAAGCTTTATCAATTTTGAGAGACAAAAGATTTTCTAGCTGACTTTGCCTTGAGTGAGGAATTTAATTCTGAGCCTGTCATTTTTCTTCCTATCAGCTTCCAACTGCAATCAGTCATAATATTCAGCAAAGAACCTTGTAATCTTCATTTCCACCATAAAAGTCAATTGCAACACTAATTTGGTATTCCAAAGCTTGGTTTTCAATACACATTTTATTTCTGACAGTGACTGTTGATAATTTTAAGCATCTGTTTTGTTATTGCACATCATGAACACTCAAATCCCCCATTTTCCATTGCTATGATGTCATCAATACATTCAAACTCCATCAGATCAGATATCCAACCCCAGACTTCCATCTTTGAGGGTCTGTTTCCTAGAACCACTCCTGACAGAAAATGGGGTAGCAGTTAATGTTCACATTGGAAATAAAAAATTACTCTAGGTATTTCCACCTAGAGGAATTTAACATAGAAAATAAGTGATAAAATTATTGGAAGAGCCAATAAAAAGGAAGGGGGAGGACAAGTAATGTTACTCTCTCCATGGAAGCCTCTACCCTCACTATAGAGAGACACTCATTTCATACTTGTGTGACCTTATGCTTCAAGAACAGCTGTTAAGGGAACTGCAAGCATCAGCTGATTCTACCACAGGAGTCTGTGTCTGCCACTGCAGCACTAGTCCACCAATGAAAGCCTGCCGGGGAGGGAGTCTTCGAAATAAGGTTTCCAGGCCTTTGGCCTGTGATGTGGAGAGAATTCAGAAGGATTGAGATGGTGCTGAGAACCAACACAAAATATCTGATGTATCTTGACTTTGCAAAGTGGGAAAGAGTACTTGTGGGAAGAGAGGAGAGGAAGGTCAATTTTAGGAACTGGTATGTAGGAATTGAGGATGAGGATCTGGACATAGACTCTCTAAAACTACACGTTACAAATACCTTGGGAATTTTCCATAGTCTGAAGGCCATTAAGCTAAACCTTAGTATGGCCAGGGAACACGCATCCCCCAGCCAGCTTCCTCAAGGCACCCTTCACCTCCTTGTTTCTCAGGCTGTAAATGACAGGGTTGAACATGGGGGTTATAACACAGAAGAGCACAGAGACCAGGATGTCCATGTCCAGGCTGTAGCCCGCACTGGGCTTGCCATAGTTGACGTTGGCTGTTCCAAAGAAGACCACCACCACAGTGAGGTGGGAAGCACAGGTCGAGAAGGCCTTGTTCCTGCCCTGAGCAGAGGGAATCCTAAGGATGGCTGAGATGATGAGTATGTAGGACACTGTGGTGAACAGCCAGGGGCTCAGGCCAATGGTGATGCTGGCCACATGCAGCACAGCCTCGTTGAGAGAGGTGTCTGAGCACGAGAGCGCCAGGAGCAATGGGATGTCACAGAGATAGTGGCTGATATGGTTGGGCCCACACAGAGTGAGTGTGGCTGCCAGCACTGTGTGCGCCATAGAATTCACCAGCCCACACAGCCAGGACCCAGACACCAGACAAACACAGACTTTCACACTCATGAGGACTGGATATTGAAGAGGCTGGCAAATGGCAACATAGCGGTCATACGCCATAGCCGCCAATAAGACACCCTCAGTACCAGCACACGTCACGAGGAAGAAAATCTGGGACAGGCAGCCCTCGTAGGAGATGGTCTTCTTCTCCCGGAAGAAGTTCACCAGCATGACTGGGACGGTGGTGGATGAATAGCAGATGTCCAAGAAACTCAGGTTGCTGAGGAAATAATACATTGGGGTGTGGAGGGCAGGACTGACCCTGGTGGCTGTTATTATGAATATGTTCCCCAGGAGTGTTGTCAGGTAAATGAGCAAGAAGATCAGGAAGAACATCCCCTGTAGGCTGGGATGGTTGGAAAATCCCAAGAAGATGAATTCGGTGACATCTGTTTGATTGCTCATTTCAAATGCTATCATAGCTACAAGACAATGAGAGTGAAGAAGCCATAGTGAGCAGGTACGTAGAGCAGCCCAGGCAGGTATGTCAAACAACGTTGGATATGGAACAGTCTGGAATGTGGAGGGAGGTGTGCAGGAGTGTCTTCAGAGGCACCACAACTTCTCACTGAGCAGATCTAGCCAGCTCAGGCCCAGGGGCCTCCTGCAAATTTATATGTCTGCTGGTGGGTGAAAATAAATGCAGACTTGGTTAAAACCAACAACAAGCCATCAACCCTTCCCTTAGTATGAACTCATTTCTACCTCTCATCATTGCCCTTTTTGTTAAGTATCTTATTTTCTTTAAGAAATGAAATTTTATTGTAAGAAATTAAGAAAATGTAGAAAGATATAAAGAATTTAATCTCCCTCAGAATCAGAATTAGTGCTGCCTTTCAGTGTACTTCATTCTAGTTTTTTTTTTTCAGTTATGTAAATCTTGAGTTCTATTTATAGCTTTAAAATACTAGGAGCACAAGTTTCCAGATTGGAAAGAAAGGCGTAAGAGTATCTCTATTCACAGATGACATGGTCCTATATATAAAAAATACCAAAGAACCCACAAGAAAGTAACTAGAGCTCATAAACAAATTAAACAAAGTTGCACACACACATCATATAATCATAGCTTGTGTTTCTATACATTAGCAATGAAAAATCCAAAAAGGAAGCTAAGAAACTCCATTTTACCATACACCTAAAAGAATTAAGTACTTAGACTAAATCTTACAAAAGAGGTAAAAGACTTGTACACTGAAAACTATGCAATATTGCTCAAAGAAATGAAAGAAGACATAAATAAATGGAAAGGCATCTCATGTTCATGAATCAGAAGACTTAACATTGTTAAGTTCAGGACTACCCAAAGTGATCTACAGATTCAACACAATCCATATCAAAATTCCAGTAGCCTGTTTCCACAGAAATGGAAAAGCCAATCCTCAAATGCATATGAATTGTAAAGAGCCCTGATAGCCAATACCATCTTGACAAAGAAAAATAAAGTTGGAGGACTCAAACTTACTGACTTTGAAACTTATTATAAAGCAACAGTAATTAAAAGAGTTTGGTACTGTCATTAGGACAGATATATAAACCAAAAAGATAGAATAGAGAGCAGAAATAAGCATAAATAAACTTTCACATATATGGTTAATTGAATTTCAACAAGGGTCCAAGACCATTCAATGAGGGCAAGGACAGTCTCTTTAACAAGTGGTTCTGAGAAACTGGATATCTACATGCAAAAGAATGAAGTGGTCCCTTACCTTATACAATACACAAAACTAACTCAAAATGTATAAAGACCTAACCTTAAGAGCTAATATAAAACTCTTAAAAGAAAAAATTGGGGAAAATCTTCATATCATTGAATTTGGCACTGTTTCATGGATATAACACCAAAAGTACAGGAAACAAAACAAAACAAAATTGATAAATTTTACTTCATCAAAATTAAGCAAGTGTCATCAAAGGACACTATCAAGAAAGCAAAAGACAATATATAGAATAGGAGAAAATATTCGCAAGTCATATACCTGATAAGGACTTAACATCTAGAATATATAAAGAATTCCTACAACTCAACAACAAAAAATAAAATATTTCAGTAAACTTTCAGGATGCAATATCAATATTCAATAATCTACTGCATTTCAACACACTAATAACATACCATCAGAAACAGAAATGAAACAAAAATCCCATTTAAAGTTGCATCCAAAAGAATAAAATACCTAAGAATAAATTTAACTAAGGAGGTAAAAGACATGTACACTGAAAACTATAAAACACTGATGAAAGAGATAAAAAAAGATACAAACAGATGGAAAGCTATTCCATACTCATGGATTGGAAGAATTAATACTGTTAAAATGTCCATAATACCCAGGGAATCTACAGATTTAATGTAATCCCTATCAAAATTCTAATGACATTTTTCACAGAACTAGAACAATCCTAAAATTTGTGTAGAACCACAAAAGACATCAAATAGCCAAACAAATTTGGAGAAAGAAGAACAAAGCTTGAGGCATCACATTCCTTGATTTCAAACTATATTACAAAGCTATGGTAAGTAATCAAAACAGTATAGTATTGGCGTTAAAACAGACACACACATCATGAATAGAACACAATAGAGAGCCCAGAAATAAGCCCATGCATATAAGGTCAATTAATTTATGACAAAGGAGCCAAGAATATACAATGGGAAAAGGACAGTCTCTTCAATAAATGGTATTGAGAAAACTGAACGGCCACAAGCAAAAGAATAAAACTGGACCCCTATCTTACACCATACACAAAAATTAATTAAAAAAGGATTAAAGACTTGAATGTAAGACCTGAAACCATAAAGCTCATAGAAGAAAACATAAGCAGTAAGCTCCTTGACATTGGTCTTGGCAATGATTTTTTTTTTTAATTTGACACAAAAAAAGCAACAAAAGCAAAAATAAACAAGTGGAACTACATCAAACTAAAAGGCTTCTGTACAGCAAAGGAAACCACCAACAAAATGAAAAGGCATCCTATAAATGGGAGAAAATATTTGCAAATAATATACCTGATAAGGGGTTAATATCCAAAATATATAAATAACTCATATTACTCAATTAAAAAACAATCCAATTAAAACATGAACAAGTAAATGAAAAGGTGCTCAACATCATTAATCATCAGGGAAATGCAAATCAAAACCACAAAGAGATACCACCTCACACCTGTCAGAATCGCTGTTCTAAAAAAGACAGATAAGAAATGTTGGCAAGAACGTGGAGAATGGGGAACCTTCATGTACTGTTAGCCATCTCTTGGCTATTGTAAATAACGCTGCAGTGAACATGGCAGTGCAGATACCTTTTCAAATTAGTGTTTTCACATTTCCTTTGGATAAATATCCAGAAGTAGGACTGCTGGATCATATGGTAGTTTTATTTTTGATTTTTTGAGGAACTTCTGTACTGTTTTTCATAGTGGCTAAACTACATTTCCAACAACAGTTCTCATCTATCTATTTCTTCTCTACCACAATTACAGCTCAGTACCTTATCACTTCTTATCTGGACCATTGTAACTGCCTTCAAATTGTTTCCCAGCCTATAGGCATATACAAACATGATTAATGATTCACGATGATTAAGTCACTTTCCTCACAGTGATTAATTTGGAGGGATAAACCTGGTTGGTAGTCCCATAGGTCCTGGACCACAGATGAAAAGCCATGCTTACAATGTGTGTGTGTGTGCATGTGTGTGTATGTGTGTGTACACGCACACATGTGTGTTTTATTGGGGGAGTTGCCATGAGTGAGAACATGGTCCCATAAACAAAGATAGCAGGTTGGCATTCCAGGCAACATTGGTAGCAGAAATTCTTTTTTTTTTTTTTTTAAGCCATGACTTTATTTTAGATATTTAGCATCCTTATCTTCTCACTGGGGTCTGAAGGACTGATAAACAATTGCCAAATACTTTTTTATTATTCATTTATTGGAGAAGTGTTTTTCCAGGACCAAGTCATCAGCTCCAAGTCAAGTAGCTGTTTCAATCTAGTTGTGGACGGCGCAGCTCAGTGGCCTATGTGGGGATCGAACCAGCAACCTTGGTGTTATGAGCACTGTGCTCTAACCAACTGAGCTAACCAGCCACCCTGGTAGCAGGAATCTTAAGTAAAATAGACAATCTGGGGCTGTGCAGCCAAGGGCAACAAACTCAGGGGACTGTTGTTGTCCTTATAGTTATAGGATAAAGGACCCGGAGGTCTCTGGGACAGTAGCAAACTTCCCTGAGAGCCGTGTTACCACCAGGGGAAGGAAGACTGCAGGGTCCTGAGCTTTGCTGGCACCTCCCTCGCCTACAGTTGCGTCCCCAACCCCTGGAGATTCCTGTTAGTTACAGAGAGCGGGTAGGTCACTGCTGGCTGGTTGCTACCAAACTGCATCATTGATTCTGAGACGCCTAGTGATTTTCACTTAAAGCACAACCTCATTAGCTACCCCAGAGGAGGTGTTGGGGAAGAAGCTGCCTTTGGGGAATAGGACTGACGTGTGGAGACTGTGTCAGACCTACCTTCTGAGTAAGTTCTTTAGGGAAAAAACAAAAAACAGATACAACTCAGTAGCCCTCTAACAGGGGTCTTAGAAAATACCCGCCCCCCCTCTCCTTGGGGGCCAGCAGAGAGTTCAAATGTCTAACTGGAAGCCAGGCTTTGGTGTGAGAATGGACAGGAATAATTACAGAATATCAACAGTGACCCATAGGCTATATTCTAGGTTACAGCAGACTAGAAGCAGGGGACATCTGGAGGGTAATAGCTTGGGTTTTAGAAAATTGTCAGTTTTGAGAAACTGCTAAGTATCTATAGATCCATGCGATTCCAGTGGATTCACATAATTGTGAAACCCATACAGTTTGCCAGCCTGATTCTAATGCTGATTTACAGTAAAGCGATGCCTACAGCTAACCTAGAGAGGGTGGTATCAGTAAACCTTGTTCTTTGATACATTGTCTACCAAAATCGCTGTGAACTTTGGGGATCACAAGAGTCCCACCTTCATCGTCTTCTCTCACCCCATGTATTCTCTTTGGTTGATTTCATGTACACCTATGGATTCAGCAGCAACCTCAAGATAGTGACCCCCAAACCATTTCTAAAGAGGTGTAGCCTGTCTCCTGAAGACAAATCCTATTGGGCATTTCCACATGAATATCCCACAGCTACTGAATACTCAACATTACTCAAATCTAAACCACTATCTCCTCTCCCCATGCCTCCTGCACGTCACTTATTTCCTGTTTTAATTAATGGTCCCAGCCTGTCCAAGCTGATTCAGTGTCCTCACCACCCATCACCTTCAAAGTGCTCTGAATATGGCTCCTTCTCTGTGAACTGTTGCTTCATGGATTTCCTCCAGTCTCCAAAACCCTACACCTTCAGTTACAGACTGTTTCATTTTTATCTGGTTACTTCTCAGACTA